CGTGATATTCATGTTTGTATACGTTACATCTCCGATATTATAGATGGAGTTTATCTTAAAGCTAATTATTAGAAACAATAATTAACGTTTGATATTAATTAAATAGGAACATGCGATTACATTAATTGCATGTCTATTGTTAGCTTAGCTTGGCTTAAAACTAGTCAGAAAAAGTTGTTGACCAAGGTTGTCTCACGTAGAGTATAATTAGGTAAAGTGTAATTAGGTACGTTGAGAAGGAATTGAACAGCGGTTGTACCGAGCGTCAAGCCGTGCGACAAGCAAGACTGAGGCGGTGGTGCTGGCGATGGCGGAGTTTGCGCAGTGAAGGCGGCGCATCTAGGCTGCGCGATCCGTCATTCGTTCGCGGATCCACGCTGCGACACCACCTAGAGCTCGCAGCATCGGTCGGTACAAGAGCGAGCTAGTGCGTTTGATAGTACACGTTGTTGAGTAAATCGCCTTGACAATCCCGTTGTGATTAGCGCCAGAGCGCGACCAATTTGACCAGGAGCACGCGTGCGCGAACGAGCGCGTGCGCGGCGCTAATTGCGCGCGACGACGGGCCGCGAGCATGCGAGGGGCACGGCGCTGCCGCGCGTAGCGAGCCAGGCCGTGCGCGCCATCGCCATGGGCTGCGCTTCGTCTGCCGAAGAGCGTGCTGCCATAGCGCGAAGCAAACAGATCGAAAAGAACCTCAAGGAGGATGGCCTCCAGGCTGCCAAGGACATCAAGCTGCTGCTCCTTGGTAATGGAGCTTGCATCTCTTTCTTTATCTAGCGATAAGGTGCGCGCGCACCGCGGTTGGAGCTTTATCGACTAAGTTAACCATGATGAGCTCGTGTTTGAACCGACTCTAATGATAATGCGAGAGATACATAAAATCTACTGTGAACAAGTTTGACGATTGTTTCATGTTGATGTATAATATCAATGTTCTAATATACTAACCTGAGGTACTGATTATAAATTAGTAAAGAAAATAATTTACTTCCCTCTAAATTATTTAACTATGATGTAGCTGTAAATAAAAAAATATATATGTTACGATACAGAGTTAATTTAACTAAACAACCTAAATAACATCTGTGGTTTTGTTGTGGTTTTTGAAGTCTCTCGGTCCATCTTAGATTACTTACCTATTGTTTATGAAGATACGATACGATACCAGATACATACAAGGTTAAGTTCACTCCGATAGTACCTATTGTTAAATATTAAAGAAACTTGGACAATGCACCATGACAATACTTTAAAAACAATTTATTAGTTACAAAGGATTATTGAAATCGAACGCAATTGTGTTGTGCTACGGTCGATAGATTTATTTGTAAAGATTTTCCACAATACTTCGAAGGCTGTTAATTTCTTTAACTTAAGGGGCTATTTGACTTGTTATGTTATGTTAGCTAAATTAAAAAATATAAAATTAGGGCATCCACTTGGGTTCATTAATCTAAGTCCTTACAATTTGTCAAAGAAGTAAAATGAAACGAAATATTGGCACAACAATCATAAGATGCGGTATCCTATGAATCTTGACTAGAGAGTAATGAGATTATTTGCTAAGATGCTTTAAACCTATTTAAGTTCTAATAAGATTTTTCTTTAAAACTTACACTTACCACTCTGAGACTGACCGTTTATTTCGTCCTAGGTTTCCGCATGCAAAAGTTCATATCAAGAAAATTACGTTAGTGACCGAAAAAACAGAGTGTATAGGAACCGAACTATAGGCTGTCGTTAACTTTAAAATCAATGCATTAATAATGAGAAAACTACGTAAAGTTGCATCGTGTTTTCTAAAGGTTTGATTTTCAGAATCAAAACGTGTATTTATAATTTTTTCTCATAAAAAACACAAAGTTAGCCCTAAACTTCAACGTTTTATAGGACTGCGTACCCAAAGAGTAAAAACGAGACCATATAACTAAGACTCCGCTCGTCTGTTTGTCACCAAGCTGTATCTCATGTACCTACAGTGATAGCTAAAGACAGTTGAATGACAGATTTCACAGATTATGTATTAACGTACCCGGTGTGACAGGTTCGATGCTTAGGCAAATAAAGAAAAGGCTGACTAAGTTTGAAAATTTGATTTATCTAAAACAGTTCCTACGATTACCAAAATAATATTGTAATTAAAATGAAACGGAACAAATATATACACTGTTTCTGGGTTTTCCGTAATAGATAAAACTTAGTAGATTTTTCACGAAGATATACTTTTAGATTTACATTTTTCTTATTTAAATTATAATAACTTTATAAATTTAAATTTATATGATAAATTATCATGTTCACAACAAATGATTTTTTTACGAACTGACATTCTCTTAGAGCATATTGTATTACTCAAAATTTCAAATTGCGAAAGGTAAATAATAAAAAGAAATTATATTGAAGATAAAAGACAAAAAGTTTGCATGTGGATACCTAGGACGAAATAAACGGTCGGTTGTACGACGCACCGTTACACCGGTCTAATAATTTATATTAAAACTAGAATATTTAAGGAGGCTCCCATACAACAATCATGATTTTTAGCACATAATAAATGGTACGGGACCCTTCGGGTGCGAGTCCGACTTAGACTTAGTCAGTTTTCTCTATTTATTCTCGTAATTATACTCTATTTTTCTGGGGAAATATTTTAATAAAGAGGAGTTACGGAATCATGCAACACTTTTACACACACAATAGTAATTTTTCGTTCAAAGGTTCATATTATTAGAGCAAACTAATCTGTATGCCATACCATGCCGCCCCCAAATATGATAGCCCTAGGCAAATGCCTAGTTTGCGTATATGGACGGATCTATTTAGCGGCAATACAACAACAGAAATACATTAATTTTTTAAGTGTCTATTTATCTTAGTTCGTAAGATACCGCCTGGTGACTAATGACTCCTTCATTGGATACTACACAACCGGTTGTGAGGTTATGTCAGACTTCTACTGACTAAACACCGCTTTGGATAGTTAGTTATGTGCCCTGAAGGGGCAACGAACCTTCGACTTGAGCGACCGCATTTCACCTACGTGGAATCTGACATCAAGATAATAGCCATTAACCCTGAAGGAGCTCGGCTTATTGAGTGAAAAAAATATCTGACCCCTGCTAAGCCTCCCAGGTCCATGTCCGCGAAAAGTTTGGATGGGGTATCGGTAAGAACCGATTGGGGACTGCAAGCGAGAGGGGAGGTGGAGGCGGGCGGCACATAGTCCGCGGCAGAACGTATGAGCGGGTGGGAGTGGTCCTCTGAGGCTTTGAACAGTGCAAATTTCGAGGTCCCTATGTAGATCCGTATTGCGGATGTAGAACGAGGCATTTGCCGCTCGGCGGTAGAAAAGATTTTACACTACTTGCAATTTGTAGGAGATTTTAAGTCGGTATGGGCTGATACGGTAGAAGCGTATGCCATCATCGCACGTATACAGACTTTGTAAAACGTTAGCTTATCAACATTTCAACCAAGCATAGGGCTGAGTCGAAAAAGATAACATCGGGTGGTTTGAGCATAAAGGGTTTGAGTGACTATTGACGTGAGGGACAAAGGAGAACCTTTAGTCGAGAGTCATGGCGAGATATTAAGACTTTTTTGCCAGCGAATGCGTTTCCCTAGCATTTTGGGAAGAGGTGATGTTTCTTAGCGTCAAAGCAAACGGCGGAAGATTTTTCCGGGCTTACTTTGAAGGCTAATGTAACTGGAAGGGAGATTGGGGAGTTTCCCGGTTTGTGGATCCCTATTACGATTGCATCCTTCCACGCGGTTGGAAAGTAGCAGAGATCGAAAATGACAGGCATTGAAAATGACTGTGAAAAGAGTTATGCCACATGGGGACTTTTTGCGTATGAAATCGATCTCATCAGAAGAAATTGGTGAGGATGTTGAGAGGTAAAAAAATAATAAAGCCGAATTTAAGTTTTCGAAACTGTTATACAATACATAATGAAACAAGTTTCACGAAACTAATTTCAGCACACGTGGAACTACTTTCGCAATGGCGTGAAATCAACTGAATCTCTGAGACACTAACTCCATCAATATCGAAACTTTATTATATGCAGATAGTGTCGCGACACTAATTTTATTTTACGTTATTGATAAAAACCAGTTTAGTAACAATTTTTTCCCGTAGGTAAACTAAGATTCTTAGCTGTGTTTAGCCATTGAATTTAGACAGCTAATCACTTATAGTGCTTATAGTATCGTACAAAGCACAACAGCTGTCATTATCCATATTTTTGGTGACGGTACCTTTTTATTATACTTAGTTAATACTGTTGGCAATCCCAGTTCCTATTTATATTTCTGTGAATGAATTTTTATACTTCTGTCCTATGAATTTTTATATTTACATAAATTCATGATATGTTATTGCTAAAGCCCAATTTGCATCTGAAAACGAATTAAAACAATGAAACACTAATTTCGCTAGCAGTTACATGTGTAAACTTCTAGTTTCATACGCAATATATGCGCATATTTTTGATGAAACTAGTTTCACCCAATTAATTTCACATATACTGAAATTAGTTTCGGGACACTTATTTTAATTTTAATGACACTAGTTTCCTAATGTAAATTCAGCTTAAAATACAATAGGTAATTTATATCTCGTATAATTGATTGAAATATAAACAAACATAAGAAAAAATAACTATACTATTCTCTGGTATTAAATACTGTGATTTAACTTGGATTTTAAACTTAAAATAAGAGGAGTTAATATATAACTCTACAACTTCCTAAAGTAAAATTAAATTAAAAAAAAAAACACTATTGCAATACTAATAAAAATTGTCTCTGGTTCATTTCGTCTGATTTTAGCGCATTGCTTTTGTTCTCTTTCGTGTGTGAAGCTACGTTCACGCATGTGTGAGCGAGCTCGAACGAAAAGAACCGAACGTTTCCGAACGTCAGTCGAGCGGGGCGCGGTCGCCGTCACGGAGTGGAGCTGGCGCTTGTCATCCGGCGGCCATTATCTCGTATTTGAACGAATTTCTAATTAATATTCGCGCTGTTGTTACGTGTTAACTGTGCTGTGTGGAGATTTTATCAACTTTATAAAGTGCTACAGATTGAATTTGGATAGTGTATAGTGATACAAGAGTTAGGTTACTGTGTTGGGTGCTAACGTTTGTGAAGGGTGGCTCCGGCTAAGCCGGAGCGGCTAGAAGCGTGTGGAGCGCATGCAGAGGGAGCGGTGAGAGCACGCCCGGCTGGGGAGTCGGGGCGGCCGGCGTACAAGGAACGAGAACTACTGCCGACATGGGGTGCGCCCAGTCGGCGGAAGAACGCGCGGCGGCCGCTCGCAGCCGACAGATCGAAAGGAACCTGAAAGAAGATGGGATTCAGGCTTCTAAAGATATCAAATTATTACTGCTAGGTACGCTAAGCCATATTTTCCGTTACAGGCATGGCCGCACCCATAACGTTTCGAATGCATTTCGTTCTCGAATAAACCGACTACCAACTGTTTCGTATCGGTGATGAAGTATCTCTAATAGGAGTATGGTCCTTGCCTTCGTGGTATTACAAATCACCTATAGAGTTAATGGGATTTCTCATAGATAGTACATATTTGCAACGTGATTGAAAAATTCACATGCTTACATGCTTAAAATCAGTTTGACGCAAACTGAAAATAAATCATTCAATGTCAATAAGCATTTGGATAATATAAACTCCCCTTATTGCCCCTCCGGTTAAAACTGTAACCAAACAAACTCTAGCCAACATCATTAATAATCAATATTTAGGCAGCATTCTTAAATGTCTTATGTGCAAAGAATTTGACATTAAAAGAATTGCACTTGCTTCTGTTACTGGAAGGAACCATCCAGGATACTAAAATGTAATATGAAGCAATTTATTGGTAGTTCATTGACTATAATAGTAGAACTGTACATAATATATACTTATTAATAATCATGGATGATTTGTAGTAACTGAAAACTTAAACTCAGAAATACTTAAATCAAATTTTAATAGATTATTAGCACTGCAACAAGTACAACTTTTTTTAGGAATCAGATTATAAATCATTATAGTATAATAAGTTATTGATTCTTTCATAATCTTTTCATTTAAAATTCATTAAATTGTATTAGGACTGTTCCTGACCATAAATATTTAGTCTGTACTAATATATGCAATCCTGCTGTTATCATTTTATTAAAATCAATTGCATGTTCTAAGATAAGTTTTCCAATGGTATGTTTTTTTTTCGGACAGTTTCAGAAATAACTGTCATATGTCAAGTCTTTCTCAAGATAATATATAGTTCTGAATTAGGCTGTTTAAGGCAATTCTGTACTAAATTGGCTCTACTGTATTTTAATGTCATGGTCAAGTTGGTGGTGACTACACTTCTCTTGTTGCATGGGGTTCCATACTATAGCTGGGGGAGCCCCAGAACTCCCTTTTATCTCCATCTGAACATTCATTTGGACCAAATGGATGTTCATACTTAAACAATATCATAACAATAAGTTCATTTTTAAACAATAAATGAATTATAATTTGAATGGTTTGGACTGATAATTGTCTCAATAAATATACCTTGATAATTAAAAAATAAATATGATACAAATTTTTATAATTTAGAACTTGTTATTAAATCATCTTTAAACAATAACAAAATATGGGTTTTCTTAAAGACAAAATGTCTATGATCTACCTACAAATACAAATAAAAAATTAACAAAGTGTATGTTAGTAGGTACACAAAATATGTAATGCTTCAGCAAATTATCGGAGTTAAAGTAAAATATGTTTTATTTTAGGATCCATGCAAATATTTGGTTATAAAAGGGATATAAAATAAAAGGGTTGCATTTCCCAAAAAAACTTTGAAAGCTGCTGATCTTTAATACTGATGATTTATTTTACATTATAGATATCTCTTTTAAGTTAGAAGCTTTTTATAGTATTTAGCACATTAGTTGCCATAAAATAGATCTATAAAGTCTTGATATAACATAAGATTATACTAGTAATATCTGTTTTTCATAAAAATAGGTCAATATTACATTCTTGCACATGTTTTCAAAATATTTGAATGCTACGGCAGTTACGCTTGAGCTTTGCTTATTAGTAATAACCCTCCGTTATCTCTTATTATTAGTTAAGCTATCTTATCAGATGTCAGACCCCTGGCGGACATGCATAGAGCACAGCAATGACTCTTAATCGACAAATCAATCGAATAAAATGTTAGATATATGTGTCTTTTCATATACACATATCTAACATTTTATTTATAATATTTGAGCCACTTCCTTCTCATTTTATTACAACTTTCGTCATCAGGTATTTTTGCACATGTCCTAACCACCAGATTATGTTTCTGTAAAAATGAACACCAGCACTTGGTTTCTCAACTCTTATCTTCATTACAGATGTAATTTGCGAGCATTCCTCTGTGTAAAGTGGATGCCACCACTCACATTTTTACAGTTTGTATTTTACGTATATGCTTTCTGACGCTGAACTCTTGCGCAACATTAATGTTGCGGAGCTGCGCTTCCTGGCTTTTCTGTCAAGGAGTTTCATTCATGTTATTCGCTCTATTCAACTCTGAAAAATATACAGGATATAGGCACAGTCGTACAGTCTCATTAATTTGTCTCAATACTACATCTTCAACAGTGATTTATATCACCAACTTAGTTTTATTTTTTCATAAATGTTGAAGACTTTTATCATACAATTAGGTATTTATTACTGCGACTCGTGCTAATCTGCTGTTTTTTTACAACCACCATGTCATCAATCATCTATATTCATCTTCGTTATAGTTTTTGTAATAAGTATGCAATCGCATAGCATCAATCCCGGAAACCCTTTCGCAATGTTCTGTAAAACACTCTTCACTTTATCGCACCGCGTAACTAGTCGAATTTCCAACTTCAAACTCAAACAAGAAATATAGCCATTACATCGCTAAGAAGTATCCTATGGATAGAATCATGACTAGAAAATTAGACGGTCGCTCTGCTGACGATCCACTAAACCGCAGAAAAAGGAGTTATTTAAGTTGAGGAGTGGGGGCTCGCTACGTCACAGTTTTGTAGAAAATGTACAAAAGCGTTACGTCATGTGACATTTTAAATCAATGTATCGCCGTAATTTAATGATTACGAAAAAAAAATCGTGATTAATATTTTTCAAAAATCTACCTGACGGACAAACAAACAAAAGTTTGTCGTCATTCCTATTCTGCTAGTGATAACGTTATTAAGTTGTTGCAATAGCAGTTTTTTTTTAAGACACAGTTCTTGTCACTATATCGCAAAATCTGAAAAAGAATATGTCATCATCGATTCATCAAAGTGCTATTGTGTTAATAGTATTTAGCGTTATAATAATAATTCAGTGGGACAGTGCAAAAATTTAAACCTCACTGAAGGCCTTGGTGTAAAGCAAATTACCCCTCTACGATGTTGCGGAGCGAGAAGACAATGTACAGTCAATACATATGGAAATTGTCAATGAAAAATTATTTATTCAGTTAAGCTTGTTACAAGTATTCTGAATGAAATAAATATTACAAGCACTTTTGAATCGTCATATCCTTCCATTTCCATGGGATTTTAACCTCGTAATGCTTTTGAGTATTTTTCCATACACTTTTAAGCTGATTAAATTAAAGACTATAGTTTGAAAAGTCTATGTAGAAACAAATCTGTCATATTTATTCACTTGATTTTAACTTTAATGCTTTGTGAGTTTAAAATCAACTACAGAAATTTTACATATTGTGCTAGCCTGACGTGCAGCCGTGTGTACGACCAGTTACTATTGCTCAGATTACTAAAGAAAACGTTTATATGTATATGAAAATTAAAAGACAAAAGTCGATGATTGTGTATAGGCATTAAAAGGGCAACCTAAAAATCTATAAAGATTTGATTTTAGACATAGTAAATTGAGTCAATCTGCCAAGTCCTTGTTAGGTAAGTAGGTGCGTAGCCAGTACCTAGCTAATTGATGTGTCACGCCTAAATTGTCGCGATCACTGGCACCGCGTGAGCTCTTGAATGGTAAAATTGCCAGCCTATTGATCTAACCGAACAGAACTGAGTAACCTTTAACGGTGTGAGAGTGATTAATGACCTAAAACCGCGCTTGTTATATTTACCCGTCGAGATCAGTAAGGATTTTTTAGTAAATGAATCAAAGATGTATTTTTTTTTACCGGAAGTCGTGCAAAAAATGTTTTTATATATTTAATAATGTCTTATAAGATTCCAAGTAATAATGGTATTTTTGTTTTTTAAGTAGTAAATATAAAAAAAGGATTCTAAGTGAGTCCTATAAAATGACATAAATTTCGAAGAGGCAGTCGATGGGTAGTAACAGTGCACGTTATCTAACTACGCAGAGCACGTGAAGAGCGATTGTATTTACAATGACGACGATAGGAATGAAAACTAATCAAAACCTTGTCATATTACTCCCTTTTAAAGTTCAACCGATTACGGTTGAACAAATTTAGAAAAATAAATATCTATAAGTAAAAATTAAAAGTCTGTTGTAGCTGCATTATATAAAAGGGAGAAAAAAATCTAATTGACAAAGTTCTATTCTAAAGAAGAAAAGAATCGTGGGAGCGTGGCTCTTGTATCACACGATACAGGTTTCAAAGATACATACATAGATTACCGAAATTATTTCAATGCGAAAGTTTTAACTAAGTGCGATACTTATAATATCAGCTTTTGCTGTTTGATGTCATCAGCTTTTGCTGTTTCATCTTGAGACAATTTCAAACGTTTAATTAAACCAGAAGACACTTCTCTTTGGTGATATGTGTATCTTGGGGTCAGAGATCGGCCGTTCGCGTTGGAACTGTAAATTAAAGAGGACTGGGGTCAATTGTTCGATTAGCACCCACGTGACTTGAAATATCATTACATCAAAAAGATTTTTTGTTGTAAAATTTGTTATAGACCAATGCCATTTCCAAAGTCCGTTTGCGGTGCAACATTATACATTTTAACATGCTATTTTTATTCATCCAGTAAGTCATGCGTAATGTGAACTGTTTCGGTTTACAGCTGGTAATTAACTGTTTTTATATCATTGCGTGTTTTATCGCGGCGCCGCGCCGTTGAGCGAAAGTCAGTTAGGAACTAACATCGTATGGGTACATCCTTATCTAATTTCTTTAATGTTTTAAATGGCGTACTCCATTTGATAGTGCCTCTTGATTCTTTACTCGGGCAGGAAATGGAAATGAGAAAAGAATTAATATTTATTTATAGTTACTGTACAATCGAATTGATTGTATAATTTTATCTATGATCACGGTTATTAAAGAGTTTTTGATAAAAACATATTAATTACACCTATATATGTATGATTAATATTATTTGAGACTTGCTAGACTTCGATTTTTCCTCGAATTCGCCATAAATTATAGTCTATGTCACGTTCTCGTATGATGTAGCTTCTCGTTTGTGAAATGTTTAAAATCAGTCCAGAGTTACCAAGCCTATTTCATGTAAACAAAATATTCTTTTCTCTTTTTAGTATTAGTATTATAGATAGTTCATCGACTTCTTTCATATACTTGAATTTCTGTTACAGGTGCTGGCGAGTCGGGCAAGAGTACTATAGTCAAACAAATGAAGTGAGTATGAATAATGTCTAAGAGTGTTATTTATAAACAAATTTAGCGTTGGAGTAAATTTACGTGGAGACTTCACTTAGGGCCATTTTTTTGATCCGTAGTCAAATGTCATTTCACCATTTGTTAACTTGACTATAGTTAAAACAATAACAAGTTGTTAACTCGCTATTTCGTTTTTTTATGCCAAATTTAACCATAGTCAAATTTAACCATTGGCCAATTTGTTGCCAGCACAATAAGTCGTTTTTTCGCTATACATTGACATGGGTAATTTTTTTCTGGGTGACAACACTAACGGTTTGAATGAACGGATCGAACTATATACCATTTTTGACATTAGGATTTTGTTCTAAATATCAAATAGACGAAAGAAATCTATAGATTATTAAGCAATGTGGATGTTTATGGTTGTTCTGTTGTGTGCACTATGTGTTATTTTTCAGGAAGTATAAGGCAATTTCTTCAATAATGTTAGAAAGCAACAAAGATATGTTTTTTCCAGTTATTTTAAACTTAACTTTTTATAAAAAGCATATTTTGTTTTTTATTTATCCTATAGAGAAATACGTGAAAAGAATATAGTATCTAGTATCCAAGGTGGGATTGTAACGTTGGAATATAAATCGAGGACTATGTATTTTATGTACTGTAGGCATATTTACCTTTTGTATTGTCTATTCGTGGAATTTATAAGATTAATAATTGAATAATTTGGCATCTGCCCGTGGAAACAAGAAAAATTATTTCTATTTAGTTCAAATATACTAAGGATGATAAAGATAAAAATATAACTTATTTTCAATAACCCTATAACCAAAAAATGACAATGAATATTTTCCTATGAAATTGCATCATAAAACGAAATCCCAAAAATAGCTAATGTCCAAATTCACTATGAAATCATGTAGGTTAAAAACAACGTAAAAAAACAATAACAAGGGACCAAGTAAATACAACGCAGTTGTCCATCTGTGCTTTTAACAATTGGTCATTTACTTAACCTAGCTTCCGGTGATGGTTACATTTTTTGACAAATGGTTGTAATTCTGACAATTGGTTAGGCTAACTATTAATCAAAAAACATATTTTTCTGATATTTAACCATTTGTCAAAGATTTTAACAAATGGTTGAGTTAACCACGGATCAAAAAACTGGCCCTTAGTATAAGTCACAATTCATATTATTAAACAGAGACTTAACAAAGGTTCACCTAGTGCGAGGTTCTACGGAAGTACTAAAATTGCAATTTTAGTATTAGTCCAAATTTACCCTAACGCTAAATCTTTTTTATTAATAGCACTGTTAAATATTACTTTTTTACATAAAATTTAACGTAATACGCAGTCCGTACTTATAAGTAATATAGCTAATTAAAGTGATCATCATTTCTTACCATACTTGCATAATCTATCTCACTTTAAAAGTAGTGCCTAACCGACACTTTGACGGTTGGTAATCTACGTTGGTACATATAATATCTAGGGTCGCTTTTAAATCCGTGACCTTATTCCTCTGCCTCATCAGTTCATATTTTTGTTAACGAAAAACAATCATTCGTTATTGAGAACATTTTAATGTCAAAGAAATGTACGAAGTTCGAGCCCCATTTTGCTTTTAACTATACAAATGTATCCCAGTAGTTATAATTCCTCGCGAAACGTTTCCGTTCCGAGCGGGTACATATTTAGTAATTTTTATTATCCGGTATTTTTCGAACTATTCGTAATCTAACTACAATTTAATTTCCTAAACTTTTACCGTGTTCTAATATTTCTTTACCGCAGAACTCTCTCCTAGAGGATAATATTGGGCGATATCAGTCGCGCTACTTATAACACATTATTGTTATGTACATAATAGATATCGCTGTACCTTAAATAATTAATTTTATACGTTAAGACAATCGATGTCTTGCTTCCTACACTCACTTTTCTATATATTATCTTTTTTGTGAACAAATACATACATTCTATATATACCTATTTTTTATATACATTATACATGAGTAGTCCTCTTAAATTACCGTATACTTATGAAAACCGCATTAAAATCCGTCGTGTTGTGTACAGATAGCGGGAAGCGACTTTAAGTCGAGAAATGAGAAAATTCCATAAAAAATCACCCCTTAAATTACTCCCTTATGGGTCGAATTTCGTAAGATTCAGTCTTAGTGAGCACCTACGTCCTAAAAAGAATCCGCATGCAAAATTTGATTCACCTAGTACTTGTATTGACGAAGTTTCATACAAACTTTCATCCTGTAATTTATATGGGGTGGAATTTTCAAAAATCCTCTCTTAGTGCTCCTCTACACTCCCTAAGGCATCTTCACTTGCTACTCTCATTAGTATCGGCTGTACGTTGTCCGTCAGTCAGTCACTTAGTAACGCAAGAATTTTATATATGTACATATATAGAAGAAAAAGAGTAGTGTTTCTCTTGATGTGTTATTCGTTTGAAATTTTTGTCCAATTGTGTGCAGCATGGTATACATAAATATATTAATTATAAATAGATAAGCTTTGAATAAAAGATGAATTTTATAATACTTTAGGTAGTTCATATAAATAATCGGTTCAGATTAGTTTTGTTAGATTCTTTTAAACAACTTGGTATCTTAGATATCATCAATCAACAGTTTTCTTCATTATTTAATAGGGATTACATTTGATTATATTGTTACTTGCATTGTATTAATTAGCCGATTTATCTTTCACAACATGAACAGACTTTCCGTTATCACTATTATCTATAATCTGGTTGTCAACAAGTGGTATGTTTCGGTGATACCACAATATGATTGTTTTTATCTACGGATATTCAAAGTCTATACCGAAATCAATACATATTGTATACTAGCTGCCGCCAACGGCTTCGCCCGCATGGATTTCCCATTTTAGTAACATTTTTCATTGCTGCTCTACTCCTATTAGTTATAAGCCTGATGATATATAACCTCAATAAATGGACTATGTTATTATAAATTTATAATACGTTGATTATCGACGATGATTTTGTTTGTTGGCAAAACAACATCTGTATTACGATAAGGTAAACGCAAATCAATCGGAATGGAACGCGCCGAATGATGCAAAAGAAAGGAATTTTAGAATTCTTTGTATGGGAACTTATGAAGTATCGTACACATGTGTCATTCATTTGCAAGGTATAAAGAATATTCATTTCGTACCCTTCCTCAGGTCTTGATATCTAGCAACACATCGAATACTCGGTGGTTAGCACTGTTTTCATCATCACCAACCTAGAAATGCCTTCACTGCTTGCAGCACAGGCTTGCTCGGTGGATGGAATCGAACCGAATAGGGGATGTGCCATGGTCCAGCATGCTGACCCAGTGTTGATTGGTGGGCGTTAACGACTGCCGGGTCAACAGCTTAAGGCGTCTTCCGAAGCAATGAGGATATAATAAATTATTGGTCGTAGAGCTTCATAGAGCGAATGTGGTTGGTACTGTAGGATCTAATATTCTCTGAGTGTGTTCTGTGGAGCATTGGTAGTTGTTGACGTTGGTTGCGAGATTTGTAGCCGCTTTTTACACGTGCATTTGGTGAAGGAGTGCTGCCGGTTCAGAGTTTGTCTTTCAGGTACTGAAACTACAATAAACTATAGCAGAAATCACATTCAAACTTTAGGCAAATAAATAGGTTGCTTTCTTTATCATAACGTAGTTGTTCAAAATCTCTCGGAAAAGTTGTGTTTTGGGCATTCTGTATGTCGCATACCTAAACTGTAAATTCAAGATTTCTATAGAAAGCTTTTTATGCAGCACACAACATAATACGTCGACGCCCTTTATTTATTTACTCAAGGCACGTCAACGTCACAAATACAAAAATAATTCAGTAAACCTTTTAAATGACACTTATCTAGCCCTTTAAACTGATATACGGGTGTCTAGCCACCTGCGCTTGCCGGTCTTGCAACGAATGTCTAGATTAAGGGAGAACGAACTTTCCAAATCCGCGTCGTCATTGATATTGCGTAATTGTTTTGATCTATTGGGAGTCAAACCGCATTATTATATGATTATATGGCTAACGGAATTCAGTTAGTCAAATCATATGCGTCATGCGTCAATCACCTTCGGTAAACCGCCTTATTATTAAGTAATATATGTATTCAATATTAATATTGACAAAAATATATTTTTGGTGCCCTGTACGTATTCATATTTGAAATTCATTATGGCAATATTTTGTAAGTACAATTCCGTCTTCACTGACGTAGTCGTCATTTTGTATTTGGATCTAATCTAATCGTGTTGTTTGCTCTCTAATGCCAACAAATCACGATAACTCTGGATTACGAGCCGTCGTGGACGATAATCCTTTCAGCGATACCGAATCGATCGTCATCGTCGAACGGCTGACTTAGGCGTTACAACAGCTTCGGTGACGTCACCGTTGTTCCGGGATGCCAAATGAATACGACAATGTGATGCGACGTCAACGTAGTTCAAGGCGATATTTTAGTCAGTTATAGATGAACTGAACTATACTAGGTAGTTAAAAACTTATACAATGCCTTCTTTAACTTAACCAATCAAAGCAATTTTGTAAGGGATTTTTTCAGTAGAAAAATTATTCATCAGAAGTGCTTTATTTCATGGTGGTATTTATTATTTGCCAGTAGCATAATTGATGCCTATAACATGAGGATGGGATTTTGTAAATTAGGAACTACTAATATTGATAAGTTGTATTATTTTTTTCATAATAATAAGTACTGTTCTTTAAAGAAAGTCGGATAATCACTATCTATTTGACTAGTTTTATTTATTTCTAGTCTTTAATATTATATGAAAGATTATAATGTTTATGGGCAGAAACGTATTAATTAGCAAATTAACGATTACATTGAACCTGCATTACCAATCTGCTTCTGCCTTTATCTGTCACATGACTAGACAAATGAACTGATCTTATAAAATATTTGTATCTGTATTTCGGATTACGTAAAGAACAATGGCCTTCTGAACTCAAGTAACTTCTGTTAGTTCTTTTGTAATGCTTTCTTTATTTCTGTACAGTATTTTGTAATATTCCACTTACCCTTGTTTTGCTACTTTATAGAATTTATACAATAAATGAATTGCTGCTAAAACGTCTACATACTCTGTCGTCAATATTGTGACTTTTTAATTAAGCAATGGTTCTTTTGACTAAGCTATTCGGTTTCTGTGACAGCTGATTTGAGCGCTAGAATTATAAATGCAAAAGTATATGTTTCGCTTTAATTTATAGTGTTTGTATATTTGTTACACTTTCACGCAAAAAACACTGAACGAATTTTGGTGATCGCTTCCCTAGGGTCAAACGCACACGGGTCGAATCGCTGTTGATAAGCTAGAAACAGATGTATTTAAAAATCATGACAGATAATTACGAACTTTAAAAGGCGAACGATTAACTTTTAACATCATCCAAAAATACAAGTTTGCAAATTACATCTACTTTTTGTAAGGAAAAGTGATTCACTGTTGTTGTAAGTATCTTTCCAGAAAAAAAAAATGAATCACTGGTACCTTCCCTCAGCGTGAACAAAAAACTTGTATCACTGAACCACTACGCTAGAATCAAATTTACACTTTAACAGACCGTCGTCTAGAAATGGAAAGTGTTTCTAATCATATATCTCGATACGCATATTTAATCGTCACTACTTAAAATATTGCGATCTTTGTCGAGAAGACATGTTTTTTTTATATTGTTCTTTAGATTTACAAAAAACGATAGTATATGTGCTTAGGATCACAATATAGGTATAGTTTATTTGTTTAGGTCGATAACAGGACTTTAAATTGATTTTGATTTTCAAAGGAAGGAAGGCTAATATAGTTATCAATTTTATTAATATAATCTTAAACTTTAATTATCTGAATATGGACAAAATGCATAACAAGCATTAATATGAACGGATCAACGGAATTACACCTATAAGGAGAAGAGAAGATTGATAGACTGTATAGAAAGAGTGAATATAAAAGTGACCTCTCAGCGTAAGGTATAGAAGAAAAGTACATTGTGCATATCCCAAATAAAATTTGGGACGAGGCATATGATGAACCTTGTTAAATTGTTTCAAATGATTTTTCATGTACTGATTAAACGATGTATTTTACATGGTTTAAACTATTGGCCGCCTAAAGCATATTGGCGATAACTAATTCTTCCTTAAAGAATTTTAAGAGTATGAGAATGCAAGCAGTGACTGTGATAAAGCACCGCTTATTAGCGTTCGTAGTATTTCCAATGAGTCACTTGGATGCGGTAGGTGACTAATGAGAGTATTCTAATTGATGTATATGTTGTTCAATGAGTGGTGTTTGTAAACTACTACATATTTATATTAATTTGTGAAGACTTAACTAAATCTATAGTATTCCTTTTCCCCCATCATATTGTATATTTATCTTATAGATCTATTCTAGTAAAAATATTAAGTAAGCAGAAAGTTACGTAGACGTCGTGATTTTTTTGTGTCGTCCTTTATGAGAGCGTCGTAACTAAGATTTTCTAACATTTTTAAATGACAGTCTGTCGATCTGTACAGTATTGTTTAATATTTAACATACATAGTAATGTTGACGTGTATTCAGTGAAATATTTTATGAAGCACCTATTTTTGTTATTTTTTAATTAACCGTCAATAACGCACTTCAGAAGTATGTTTGTGCGGGTATTTCTTACTAATTTTGACATGACTAAATTTTATATGAAAAATAAATTATTTATTACTTTTTCTTTCATAAATAAGGTGTAATGTTATCTCAATGTCAATTATTGATCCCAAGATTATATAAACTTACAACATTGCATGTAAGTATTACATAATTATTGCACTGTTGTATTACATACTATTCTTAATTGATTGCATACTTATGATTAAAATAATTACATATTACAAAAATGTTCTATAAGTAAAAGTAAACGCTTAATTTTTGATAAATACATCACAATAGTCATCGATATTTATTTATCTTTTGTATGTAATCTTTTTGTGTAAGATAAATCTGAGAATGTATTTAAGACTCATTGTTTTATTAAAATCAAATCAGAAATACGCAATATTATGTCATTGGGAAATATTAACGATTCGAGTACGTTGCAGTGCAGTGTAGTCGTTATTCAAAGAACTTACAAGTTTCTGATGGTCTTCTTTCATCTGCATATTATGATTAAAATGTAAGATCAGTATAAACTGTATATGGACTAAACTGTACTTTAATACAGTTTCGTTTAAAACCTCGATATTCTGACAACTCGTTGATCACATTCTAAACTAATCCGTGTATCATTAATCTCATTTTAAAATTGTGCACATTGTAATAATGTTATCTTTTGTATGCAGAATTATTCACGAAAGTGGCTTTACGAATGAAGACTTCAAACAGTACCGGCCTGTGGTGTACAGCAACACGATCCAGTCACTCGTCGCCATCTTGCGCGCCATGCCCAACCTGGGTATCACTTATGGGAATAAGGACCGTGAGGTAAATATCGAAGCAAACCTTTTACCCTTTAAGTATAACATGTTTATTATGATGAGACTTATTAGAAACTATTCTAAAATTAAAAATTGTCATCACGGGATAAATCGTTAATTCTTTTGGCTCACTTTACTCGTATTTCGTTGCATAAATTATCGAGTGCGTCGGTTACCAGTAGGATGTGTTCTATAAATAAATACATAAATCGTTCGTTCGTAAAGAATAATCCTGATTGCATCACAACATTATATCTTACTATTATTGTAAGTGGTAACTATTTTCGAACCATTCGTAAAAATAAATGAGCTAGCTATCTTATATGTTAAGTAAAGATTAAACTAGGATTATGTGTATTGTAAACAAAACTAATATAAATTTCTGATTAAATAGAACTTCGCAGAGAAAATTTGTCCACAACATTTAACTCTTAAATGCAGGAAAATTATAACTCATTTTATAAAATATGGTATCTGATAAAATTCTATCATGCACGCAATAACAACTATGCATAAATTGCATTCACTGTTACTAGGACTAGCCAGTTCCACGAAATCGTTGTGATAAGCCGATCGATACAGTATTCCTTATTCATGAGTGGTTCGCAGTATATTCAGAGTCGATCGCTACTACTTGCTACGTTATTATGAATTGCACGATGTAGATCGATCTTTTGTGCAACTTTAAAAAAAAAATCATATAATTCGGATTAGCTCTTCTAACGTCGTCTGCATTTACGTAAAGTTAAAGACGCAATTTCTGTTTCTAAACTTTTTATGTTTCTTGCCATTGACTCGTTTTTATATGAAAAGGTAACAACCTTTGTTACCTTTTCATATAAAAACTAAGATTAATTAATATCAAATAATAATGTCGACTTTGTAATGGATATTATAGACATGATTTAACCCAAATAATTTATAGTAGTAGAGATAGCGCAGTAATTCTAGAAATTGAGTCTAGGGTGCATGCACACTCGGTCTGATCAACATTTATGTCAACGTCAAAAATTTACATAACAACCTATTTTTACTATTAGTAAAAAGTTTCTTCGCGTTATATATGGAAATTTGAATCATTTTTAATAAATTTTGTTTATATTTAACTAAAGTATGTCAATACCATTTTGTTAGAAAACTTTTTGCCATCTTGTAGGTAGGGTCAAATTTAGGGGCTTATGATCAAAAAATCGTAACAAGTGGTCCTGGCGTCATATTAACTGACACTGCCTAAAGAATTCTGAAGAAACAAAAACAGGTGAAAATCTGAAGGTGCAAGCTCAGGACTATACGCCTCCCAGTCACTCTCTTAATTTTTGCAGAGTGGCAAAAGATGAGTGAGGTCTAGCGTTATCATGATGAAAAACTTCACCCATTCTATTGATTAATTCTCAATTCAACTTCTTATTTTAATATCATCAGTTCCTAGTTAACCCGGGTTTTGCCACAGTCTATAAAGCCTGACCGACCTTTGACCACGACATTTTATGCACGTTCTTGTCATACGTGATCTATTTTTCATCACCAGCTATAAGCTTTTTAAAAATTGTTCGGTCTCATTACAATTTATTAAAGAATTACTTGAGTAAACAGTTCATTACTTTTCTTTCAGTGAGCTCGTGAGGAGCCCAAATATCCAACTTTCATGTGTGCCCAGTTTTTTCAAATACGCCAAAACTGTTTTGTGGCCAATCGCCAGTTCTTCAGCTACGTCGTAACTTCTGACATGCTCATCTTACTCCACTTTTTCAAAAATGGCATCTATTTTATCCGTAACAGGGCGACCGCAGCGACGTACATCTTTGACATCAAAATTTTGCGTACTGAAAACGCTTAAACCAAATTTGTGCTACTCTCACAGAAACTGAACTAGGTCCATGAACGTCACAAGTTTTGTTCGCGTAATTTTTGTTTATTACCTTTTGTTGTAATAAAATTTTTAAAAAATACACATTTTCCCAATTTGAATTCGGAGTTAACTTCTTTAATATTGAAACTTTTTAATGATACCGAAACCAGCCAGATACAAATGGTATAGCTAGATTTTTTTATTTTTTTATTACAAGTTTATGCATACTATATGCGATAAGACTTTGCCCAACCTAATATGCAATCGTTTATCTTACTGAACCGAAATCTTTGTTGTTACTTAGCGATCTTATTGATAAAAGCCTTAGAGTTTTCCATTCTGCCTGTTAAATAGATTAATGCTAATAAAATAAAATGGCATAAAAGTCAATATTGTAGTTCCTTTGTGTTTTATGCAGTAGTATCGTTACCAATTGATAAGTTGGTTAAAATTATTTGAAACCAATGGTTTTGATAAGGTATATTGGATATTGCCTTCTTACGAATAATATTTTGGTAAATTGTATATGAAATTGTGCTTTATTTAGAAAATTTACTAACCTCATCAGAATTCTATACTAGCTATTGTCAAAAGATTTTTTGTTATAAATCCTCGTGTTTGTTGTCGGTGTTTTTTGTCTTTAGGGGATCTATTCTGACGCATTTATATCGCATAATGTATAAACACCAAGTTTATATTATCTTTACACTCATGATAAACTATTCCATACCATTTCAGGTTCTTGATTAAATTTCTTGCTGTAATAAATGAATTATAATAACTCTTCTAGTGAATCGAGTATATTTTGATCTGTTTGTAGTAGGTACTTTCGTAAAAGTTGATTGTGTCTTTTCGTTATTTTATGTAACAAGAATGATTAAGAGTTTATTTGATTTGATGCCTGGTTGATGGCGAACTGATAGACGAACAATGCTAATTGCTTAACCAATGAGTCACGCCAATGAGTGTTGTTACTATTATATCTAAAAAGTAGGTAAGTCGAGAAAAAAAACTGTTAGATATTAAAGGTTAAGGTACGGGCTCCGCGGCAAAATCCAGAGAAGCGAACACGCTAACGTGTGACGTCACTTTGCGACACTGCCAGTCTGTACTTGCGGACACCTACGTACTTTGGTTCGTTGCGCTCTCGTGGTTTCGCAGGAAATATTGTATTGTCCATATGTGTACCAATTCCAGTGAAATAACACCCCATAAATTGATTTTTTTCTGTACCTACCACATGACAAATATCCAAATAAAATGGCTGAAGGTTATAAAAAGAGCAGATTCTCTCACAGCCACTAGTCACGTGCATTGTTATGAAGATCATTTCTACGGAAGTATTGTGTTCATTATGTATACTATACATCCAAAAGTGTTTTTTTAAGCAATAGACACCTAATCTAAAACTAGTTTAAAGAGCAGGTTAATGACCTCGCGGGCGGCGATAGATGAGGCGGTTGAATTAGCGTTGACAGTTACTTTTTGTTTTAAAAAACTAACCCATGTTTATTAAATCTAATCAAAAATAGTTTATCATGTTAGTTATAAGTTCTCATTGCGTACCACACAAGACTACATAGGTAACTACATTGAGAAAGGTCATGGGTTCGAGTCCCATTAGAGTGCCAAAGACAAAGTGGATTTTTAAAGCATTTTTCATTAAGAATATTATTCAGTATAGCATTGTGAATGGAAAATTAATCAAATATAATAACACAGTAAGATATTTAAGGGTAAGACTCATCCTTTCTTTATAACCGTACTCTATTATAGTGCATCTAAATATTTATAGTTCTAGACCTCGTTTGAAATTAATAAGTCCATTCGTTACTGTTTTTGCTTTATTAAAATTGTTTTTTGAGGGAGGTGTCACAACAACAACCAGCAAAGACACAACTCCCCTCTTTGTTATTTTATTATCAGCCGATGAGTCAGTCGTGTCATCGCGTGAGGAATCGAGTGGCGCCAACCCTTCGTATTATTGCATACAATATTTATGTAAGCTCTTATCGGTATATTACATTCTCAGTTTACTGTTAGAAGACTAAATGTAGCTCGGTCATTATAACTTGATATAAAAAGCAATAATGGGGAATAAAAGTGTTTGTTGTTAGAAATCTTTGAAGGCACATTTATAGAGGTCTGGACCTAAGCAGTGTTATTAATAAACAAAGTTAAGCGTTGGAGTAAATTTACGGTAAGACTGCACTAAGTATTAGTAAAAAATCATATTACTAAACTTGGCAAAAATGTTAACCTAGTACGAGGTGCTACGGGAGTAATGTTTACTCCTAGAAGGTAGTAGTTTTGCTTATTCTCTGAATAATATGAATTTGGACTAATACTAAAATTGCAATTTTAGCGTAGATTTACTCTGACGCTAAACCTTGTTCAATACCACTAAAGGGATAAAAAATATATAATAAAAAAAGTTTTTTTAAAACAAAACTTTCTGCAACAGTAATTGACTTGAAAATCTTTTTTGCACTAATAAAATCGGAGACAAGGAAATAGTTGAAAAATAATAATAATTAAATGATTACTAGTTGGTTAAAATTTTTTCATGTAGTGGAACAAATCTATTCAGCTATAACTAAAAGTTTGTAGTTGATGTTTTACCCTTAGTAATTTTTAATTGCACACAGAGAACAGACATACTTCAGTGTGGGAAAGTACTAAGGGTATATCGGAAAACTTGTACATTTTTGTTACGAGAACTCCGTCTTATACTTAGAAAATTCCTTACCTTTTTATTGCTATGACATATAAGGAAAACTAAATATAATCCAACTTTTAAAAGGCTTCAAACATTACGGTAAATATAGATATATTTTATAATTGATGTTTATTAACGTTTCATTCATCAGTTTTTGATATTAGGTTTAGTTTCGCTTGAAGCATGTCATGTTCCACATTGGGACCGTTTCATTGTTCTTTTATTTTTGGTCTTAATTATATGAAATCTGTTCATATCTTGTTTTTACATATGTTGACAAAGCCCGGCTGCATTCGTATGGCTTCATAATTACAGCATTTCTTACAAAATCCGCAGCCACGAGAGACTTTATTTATTTTTTTGGTGATATTTCAGGAAGCAAAATTACGTTTATTTAGTTTTTGCTTCACATGGATATTCCATGTATATTTTTTGGCCGTTGCTGAAATGGCGTACAATCATGTCTGAAATGAGATTCCTTATGGGCAAGCTAGAGTCATTATAGGTTAATATTTTTCATGTTGTTATTGATATTGAATACTTAATTATTTAGTGTGAAGATCATTTCTCTATTCTATACTAATATTAAAAAGAGGCAAAGTTTCCAACTTTATTTGTTTATTACCCTCTGCTAATCTTCGCAAATATTGACCCGATCATGAAAATTCTTTAATCTACGGGGAGCTATATCAAACTTGTGTGCTATAGGCTATAATCTATGCGAGCGAAATGGCGGGAAAACAGCTAGTTTTCAATGAAATAAATGTATCATACGTCTCGAATTCGTTGTTATAGTCCATCAGTACACATAATAATCCATAATATCCTCCAATCTTACGAATGTTTGTTTATTAAATCTTTAATTCTACATATTGCGTGTAAAAAGTGTATAATAGTAATCGAATGACGAGAAGGTGTTTTATAGCGAAAATTTGGATTATAATTTAGTGATTCAAACGACCGAATAGACACATGCATGTGCATCGCCCAATTCAATTCAGTAAGTGCTTACTCTACTAAGGAATGATAATCCGATTTGTACTTATTTGCAAAGAATAAACTAAAAAGTTCAATGAACTTAATGATTCAGTTTATCTAATGACCTCAATACATGGTTTAGGAATTAAATTAACTAAGTGGTGGCCTGTTCGTGACTGTTAAGAGGCACTTATGATCCGATTTGAAATAAAGTATAATTCAACAAAACTAAGATATTATTGTCCTATATCCTGAACACGGAACGAGAAAACACACAGATGATCTCATCCTAAGATAAAACACTCATCCCGTAATAGTTAACTACTAGAATCTCTTTGGAATCTCCTTTTATGTATAGTAGAAGACATGCTATATTTTTGTTATTAAAATCTAAAGATTTAAAGTATTGAATCTTAACTTAACACTGTTAATACAAACGGATCTTATGTGGTTATGATACTTGTATGTCGCAGGATTATGATTAAGACGTGATTTTATCAAGCTCCGGAGTATAATAATATTACAACTTCATTTTAACATAATCCAGAACAAATCCAGTTTATAAATCAAAAATCTCCGATTAGTTTTATTGGAAAATAATAACATCTAATGATTTGTTGAAATATCTGATTTTTATGTTAGCATAGCATTGTCACGTTTGATCAAAAACACAAACAAATTTTGGTTAAAAATCCTTCTTTATCATAATCTTCCTTCAAAACATAATCTTCAAATTGTGAAATCCCGAGGTTATATCACTTATCTTCTGGAAGCTAAAATAAAGACTACTCTTTAACGATAAATAACACAATTTTCATAGTTACCTACAATATAGATGTAGCAGTATAATTTCTATTTCTTTTCTTTATCCTAGTTTACCTTTTTAATGCGATTATATTAAGTAAAGGATATGAGTGTTTAAATGTTAAACCAAATTGACTGTGTATATTACACTTATACTATATTAATCACACTTACTTTATTGATACTGTATCTTTTTCATATAAAATATCATTATCATCACCAGCCTCACTGATGATAATGATGATTATGGAACACTTGAATGGATTTAAATTGAATCGAATAGGGCGAATAGGCCATGGCCCGCCACGGTCCCGCGGAGTTGATCTGAATTTATAGGTGTTAACAGCCAGAATTGACTGCTTTACGTGCTTGGGAAGCAAGGAGTAACTTGAAGTGATAAAGTTTTGGTCACTCATCCTATGACCAGCATGCTTATTCTCGGACGCAATCGCGAGAGTAGCATGCTGGTCTTGCGAAAGTTGCCTTAACTTCCACATCGTAGATCGAACGTACTAACTACTGCACTATCGACATCCTTAAATAAACTTCTAAAACTATTATAGACTTATAGTTATACTATATTATATAAGAACGTGAAATTATAATTTTGAAAGACCGTGCCTTGTTGCCTTGTTGCCTTGACCGTGCGTTGCCTCAGTTCTCCCTGCTTCCACCAGGAAAATAATAGATACATATATTTTACTAGATGCATTTTGTTTATCCAGAGCGATGGAAAGATGGTGTTCGACGTGATCCAACGGATGGAGGACACGGAGCCGTTCAGTGAGGAACTGCTTGCGGCGATGAAGAGGCTGTGGGCGGACTCTGGTGTGCAAGAGTGTTTCGGCCGCTCTAACGAGTACCAGCTCAACGATTCCGCCAAATAGTGAGTATTCAACCTTATTTAAAACATATAGGATTTTTCTCATTGTACTATGTTTTTGTAGAATATGGGGAATTTTAGGAATTAACTGTTATCGGATATTATAATGAGAGCGATTCCGTCACATTGTTGTTAGCTCTGTGTTTAATATTTATAAATCAAACTAATTACACATAAAAAAACAACAATATCAGAATTAACCTTAACTAAAAAAATCAGACATTATTTCATGAAATATTTAGGTAGTTAAGAATTTCTATTGAAAATAAATTATGTATTATAATTAATAATCAACAGTAATGTATGTCATAGGAATGGTAATTATGGTTTTACTTCAATATTTCTAATAAATTTTAAAAAATACGAAATTGTTAATTTAATACTGATAATATCAGGGTTTACTGATATAATCTTATTTATTATAACAGTTGCATTTTTCTTCTCTAAAATTTTAAACTTACTTTTAACAAACTTAAATATAACGCTTAAATATATTTCTAAATAACATTTTCATTTCTTGGTACCAATTTAAATTTCAGTGGCTCGTTCGGCACATAGGTAGGCGTCACGCTATACGTCAGTTCACAGTAGTTCCAAGACACGTTGTATCGGTGGAGCGTCTGAAATCAAATAAAAACAATAAGTGCGAAAACTCCGGTAATTTGGTGACACTGTCAAATTAACGCGTTGCGTAAAGTGGTGTTTTTTCGTTGCGTAAACACGACACGTTTTTTTTTATGATTGACATGAAACGAATCTTATGTCAATAGAAAGTGTAAACGCATATTTGTTAAACAATATGGCATCGTGGAATGGTATAGTTTCATGTCACTTCTTATTTAAATATCTTTATTATCGGGACGACCCTTATATACATGTTACGTTATGCACTAATCTTTATTTTTAATGGTAATAGTCTTTGTAACATGTATTTTATTGAAAATTCAAGTCATTATTGCTGTACAAAAGACAGTGATCGGACGATCGGACAGCGTAGGCATATCAACGAAGAAAAAAGTATAAAATAGGTTGTTTGTTAATAATACCTACCTTTGCTATTAGAAGCTGTAATTCCGCTTCGGCGAATCTCTTTCCGATACACATCCTTCTACCGAAACCGAATGGCAGTGATGCAAACGGATGTATTCCAATACCTTTTTGTTTCTGGGACACAGTTATTGCCATATGATCGTCGCTGTTACGGGATACCTGTTCCGAGATACGTTGTGTTCCGCCGTACCTGCACCCTATCACTTCTTTTTTATCCAAGCGTGACACTGGACAACAGGACAGCTCCTGTTTAACATCATTATCGCGCAACCACCGCTCCGGAACATATTTTTGTGGCGAAGGGAAATATTTCTCGTCATTAGACATAATGTAATGAGGAAACACAACGTGAGACTGTAATATAAAAGGTATAATTAAAACTTCCTTCTTTCAAATAATGAATTTATAAAGGCTAATGCTTTTGTTATTTATGAATATTAATATTACCCCCTTTGGCACTTTGTATCCAGATATCACAGCGTCAGTTTGGATGCACCGTCCATTTCCCAATATAACTGGTTTGATTCTATAACATGAAATATGTCATATTCTGATCGATAGTGTCAGCGGCTTGTTTGATCTATTAAATTGAAGCATTGAATAATCTGACAGCAGACCAAACAGGATTGATCTGTTCAATACCAGACTGCTTATGGAGTGGGAATGAGCAGATGAGTAGTTGGGTAAATTAATACTTTGATACTTGGGTGAGTGAAATTGGATTTTATTATATTGACGTAGAAATAGCAGCACATCAAGTTACCAAGTATGTCTCTATTTGGGCAATCAATTTTAAACTGATCTGTCAACGGATTAAGGTTTCAAATCCATAGTAGAATTTTAGTTTTTTATACCAAATCTTACGATGATTTATAAGAACGACATTGGTAGACTTTATCACAAAGAATGATACAAGAAGATATAAAAAGTAACATTGTTAACTCAATATGCAGGAGATATCTCTTGAGATTACGTTTTGACTGAGCTGTTATAAGTGAATTCGTCATTTATCTTTTGGATAAAAGTTAATAGATAAAAACAGTGGTTTATTTATTTGATAACTTTAAAATGACTTTGGTAGGAATCTATACGTTGCCAAGTTGGTTAATTATGAAATTATTTGGTTAAATTGAGTAAGATGTTAACGCTATTGTGTGTTTCTTTTTTTTGACATAAACTTATTATCGATACATTAATTAATTTCTTTGATAAACAACCATACCTTGTTAGTAGGTATCCATGCAATAAATTTTGTCGTTCAAAGATAACGGCTAAAAATAAATTTATATATCTGTATTACTGTTCATTATATTGTTAACTGACGTTTTAATATATTATTAGTTGTACAAAATTATCGATAACATTGTATGTTTGCAGAGTACTTTATTAAATATGAATATTATGCAAACTACCGTCGTCATCGTCGTCGCCGTGTCGTAGTTTAGTGTGAGATAAGAGTAACCGTACTGCGAGGGTGCTAGTTATCTATCGCTAGTTATGGAGGTGAAGCATTACAGGAAATACGTACACCGATATGCTCTACGGATTATCAATATTACGTGTTCAGAGCGATGACTTACCGCAAGGTTTCTTTTACGCATGCCCTGAGGTACGGCAACTTGTCCAGATCCTTGCATGTCAGAGTTCTATTTGATGGTAGAAATGTGTCTAATTCCGTTTGCAACCTCTCTTGAGCCCTTACATTGGTTGCCAACATGTACATAGTACTTGCAGCTGCCGCAGCGGTGGTGTCCACGCCCACTAGTAGTAAATCTAACGCCAATATTGTTGCAACTTTTGTGCCTGACTTTTTAGCTATAGTAGCACATACACCTTTGTCGGTCAACCTTTTTAAACATATCGCTCTGAAAGTGTCCAGTGCTTCCACATAAGTCTTGTAGGCTGTGGTGGCGTATAAACGCCACAATGGAGCAGATAGTTCTAAAGATGGTACGCTATGGAAAAAGCCATGTATGCATCGAATAATTTCCTTAGCCTCTACGTCATCATCGTTTAAACACCCTAACCGCGTACCTAACGCCCACGCACCTACTGCTGTAAATAAATATTAAGAAATCTTTTTTAATTTTAGTGCAAACATTATTTTGTAACCTGAAAGCTAGTTGCAACAAAAGCAAGTAATTATCATTCAGCGAATGATAAAGTTTTCAACTTTAACAATATTAAAATAAGCTTTCAGAAAGTAATAGTAGTAATTAGATATATTGCGCTAAACGAACTTAATTGTTTGCAAAGTACTGTTATCTAGCTCCTCTCTTACTAGGCTGCTAATAGGAGTTTACAGTATATTCTAAAAACTATGTTATATATCTTATGAAGCATTTTTAAAGTAAAATTGAAATTTTTAATTATTAATCCACCGTAAACAGCTGCCATGGCCAAAAGGCACATAATATTCCTATGGAGTGCCTCAGTAGCATTGTAGAATTTTCATGCTATTCTCATACGTATTCTGTCAAGCTGTCAAGAGTCCTGCTAAGTCATTTTATAAAAAATGTACATATACGGACGTTAAATAGAAAATTCAACGCCTTTCAACTTACATTCTAAAGCCCATTTATATAGCTCTGTCAAAAAATCATCAGGAAGCTCACGATCACTATCAACTAGAGTTTCCATCCTGAAAATAAAAAATAAAAGTTTATTATTCTCTCAATAATGCACCATAAGTATGCAAATTATCTTACAATGACAAAAACATGAATTAATTTTAACTCCAATTTTACTTGACGTTAACTAATATCTAAACTGTTAATGTACCCCAGCGCGTGTCATATTTTTATCTAAAAAAATATCAGCTTAGAGATAACGTATACATTTTTTACTGTAATGCTTTTGAATGGAGCTTGTTATTCCCGCATTGAGTAAGTAATCCCGTATACCTAAACAAAATGCGCAGACGCCGTTTGGCGTCGTTATAGACGGGATGTGCTCATTAAACCGAGATTCTGCGGACCACGGCTCTCCCGAGACTATTGGATAAGTGCAACTATACAATTGATGAAAGAATGTTCTTGTGCTATTATTACCTAATAACTAGTTACGTTCATCGTTGAACACATACGGTAAGATTAGCGTAACTACGCTTACTATACAATTAATTTTGTATGCATACCGTAAAACTACTGAACTACATTTCGCGTAGCACACTCAATTGAGCATAGCGCTATCATAAAACGAATTCTCACATACATACGTTACTGAAATTATATAATAACTTTTTCCACTTGATTTTCGTTTGTGTTGTATTGCACTTTTTTTTTGTATTTATATACGTGACCAGAGCGATTCCAATCCAATATTTATTCGAGTAACAAACCGGTTAAATAAATTATGCCTTTATGTTTTGTAATTGCAGAATAATAATGAAGTTGTCACCGTAAAACTAGTATGCACAAATATGATTTTGTAATTAAGATTACCGAATGTTTGCGAGCGTATACAGCGCAATGTTTATGGTATCTACACAAACATCATATACCTAATTAGTAGAAGAATTTGCGCTGAAGAAGGAATACGAAATTTGGCACCATTAAAATTTATATGGAGAAAGAATGCAGATTTCTAATATTTTTTTTTATAATAACGATAAAAAAAAATATTAGAAAAAAAAAACAATAATATAAAGTATAGTTTTTTATTGTAAAACCTTAATAATATTTAAAATTTATGAATTGCGTTTTAAGAGGCCACTAATATTATTTAATATTCAATACACCTCTTTATAAAGTCATTTGTAACAGCATCCAAAACTGGTATTGCTGCTCTAGCCGCTTCCGGTGCCACTAGTTCCTTGGACACTTTTGATCTGAACTTCGACCATGGTTCGCCATGGCTGTAAATTATTTTCTCTTTATGACAATCATTTCTGATTCACTAGAAATATTAATTGCCTATTCAAAATTAACCCTTTCTTACTTACACTCCGATTAATCCAGGTTCATTGCCGAAAAAATCTTTTCGCAACTCTTGTTTGTAATGTTTAAGACACGGTGCCACTGCTCGGTGAGGCATTCCATCTTCCTTTCTATATATTTGTGCAGTCTCGTCAGCGCAAAAAGGAAACACCAGATCCGGATGGCCGAACAGTTTTGCTACTTTAGCTGCACCGCCGTCACCAGCCAGCGCACGTAATGTCCAAAGCGTGATATCTAGTGCGCTTGTTCGCCATGGTTTTTTGCCAAGAGCGAAACGCCAGGAGTTGCCTAGAATAGGCAAGGGCTTCGGCCCCGGCATGTGTGTGAAACACCGAGCACTATTCATCGCGTTCGTAACGTCAATGATAGCTTCAGCCTCCGAAGACGAGGTGAAAACAGTGGGGCGGTCATCCGTGCATATTACGTTTTAGCAGTGTCGCAACAAGTTCTACATTGTGGACTCACCCAACACATAGCACTACGCATTTTTCAAGCATTGGCCTATTTTTAAACAGGTCCTTTAACAGGAATCTAGATTAATGCGGCAGAGACGAAACGACATAATATTAGATTCATTGCTATACTATACGTAGGAAGATGATTCATGCGATTAAGTTATAATGTTAATAAAATATAATTAATGTTACGTACAACTGAATTCCTGTGACTATTTGATATTAGTATAATATCGGCATTCTATGCATGAAGTATAATTCACTACTTACTACTCTACCACTATTACTATTCTCAATTTGCAGCAAATATGAAGACATCATTTAACAAGTTGGTGATAATACTAGAAATCTGCGGCCTATTTAAGAATGCTTTTGTCATCGGGTCTCTGAAATTTTTTTATTAACATCCTATTTGAAATTGTAGAAATAACGATTTTTTTTCTTGTTACATTTTGTTCCAAACGAGATAAATAAAGAGAACAAACTCACGCCTTTTATAAAGTTTCACAGTATTTTTTTAAATATGAACTTATTATGGACTTTTATTTTCAAGTAATTAATAATAATTTCAATAATAAAGTATAATATGATATGTAAATTTGTTAATTTATTATGATTTTATGAGAAGAACGTCTGACGGATGACGTTAGTGCTCGCCAATTAGTCTATCCCTCAATGAAAGCCGGGAGCGCTGCGCCTGCGTTGATTGACTCATCCGGTCTCCGCAGTACACTTGCTCGTTTGCATCTTCCGCAATCACATCATACAAGTCAATATAAATAATTCCAGAGCTCCGCGACTTGATTAAGTAAGATTCCGAAACACGACAAAATCAGGTTCAGGATAATATAAATAGATTGTGCTTCTTCAACTAACATCATTATCTAACGTGGGTTAAATTACTTTTTCGCCTGTACATGGATGATCCAGATAATTTAAGTGCTATTTTCTACAAAAAATGTACTAAACACGTTATCATTCTGTGTATGTTGATAATGACGAAGGTGACGGTGCGTTTGTGATTGTGAGCGCTAGGGGTGTGAAATAAAACCACCGATAACAAAAATTCAAAAGAATCAAATCAAATTATAATTCAGAAACGTTACAAACAATAAAATAGACCTTAAATATGTATAAAAAAAAACTATATAATCGTAGATCAAAAGAGGTAAGGTAAAAAGAGGGGTTATTTTAGAACACAAGTTTGGGGAATTTTATTGTATTAGACAACATCCATCCAAGCAATAATGACTTTTAATATGATACTCCAGCATGTGTTGAATTATACTGATCAATGCGGATGGTGGTTGTGTTTGACTTGTTTGATACGTATCGCGGTCGACGGATGCTATTGCAACACAAATAAGTAACTCCTTGTGCACAGATCGTCGTTTTACTCGACAATCAATGGTAATATAAGATAGGATGCAGTTACGTAATCGCATTCTTAAGAGCGTCTTAAGGGTTCGCTGCGTTACTATATTTTATAGATATGTACTTTGACAAGTCGTTTCTGCCGATGATTAACTATGTAGTTAGTTTACGCCTGATTCATATGTAGTAGTAGATTGGTAAGGTTCTAATTTAATCCTTGCAGGAATACCAGATTCAACTGTAATGAATTCTGTCCACTTTAACTTCAATATAGTCTAAACAATCGCGAAAACATCGCCTTAATAAATGTCTAGCGATTACTATCGTCAAATTTGTCATGCGTAGTTACACTGTAGAGATACCTGTAGCCAATTTTCTAGCGTTTGAAACGTAAAATTGTTCGTTAATCTGATCTATAGGTTGAGATTTATATTACTTAAGATACGTGTTAGAAACACATTTGATTCACATTTTGTCAATACCGCAACGTTTACTAATTGATTACAAGCAATCCGAATAAAAGGTGACATGTTTAGCTTTTACGAGTGCCGTCGAACAATAAACGTTTGTTAACTGAAATCACTAATCGATAACCAATTTGCTAAACTGTAACTTAATAGGACAAGCCGTCATTGCATGCTTTTGATAATTGACTGGGGTTTCCTATGAAGCACGAATGATATGGCGCGTGCAAGTGAGGTTGGCAATTGGGATCGACTAGATGTGATGCCCCATTACTCCCCGCCAACTCTATGTTGATCACAACCACTCTGGCGAGAGTAATACGAACTTACGACTGATCCAGTCCAAAATTTCCAAACTAGTCAAAGTCTGTATTCATACGAAATATAATTTATTATACCGCTCAGTTTATATAGGAAAGAAGAGTTGTTTGAACTATTTTCGTCTCAATATTTCTAATTTCTCTTCGTTTATGAAACTTCCTCGGACTTTCAATGATTATTTAAAATATAGTGAAATTGGTCCAGTTACGAGTATGGCGCTTATGATTACTTGTATATTTGTACACAAATGATGATTTGATTAATAATATTTAATATAGGTTTTTGTACTTTACTTTTTCAAGTTTTCTAATCACTCGCTATTTCTTCGTGCGTGTATGAAATTTCGTAGTTCCTTATCCAGATTTTTTGTTAATGTAATTTTTTATCATATAAAATATCAGTAAACTTCTGTAGACTTCATAGCAATTGAGAATAGGGCGGCGTTCTAATGCAGCGCAGCGACCACCTACGTTGCCGCCATCATTCAAGACTATTGTCGACGTGTTTATGGACTGATCTCATGACGCCCGCGCTAATTCCGGAAGCATACAGCTGCGACCGTGAACTTTAATTATCAAGCAAAGTTACCAATATCAGCTAGCAACAAGGGCAGTTGATGCGACCTCGATATAGAATAATTAAATATCGTTTTATATTAAACTAACGCGTTCAATACATGACAATGTCAAGTACAGTATTATAATTATGGTTTCTTATCCGTCCTTGACCGGCGTACATGAACTGTTGTCGCACATGAAATGGTACTGAATGGATTAAGTCTTAATAATGTTACAAGAGATCAATGGATATTGAGATGTTGTGCGAAAGGAAAGCATTTATAGAAGCAGGCCGCCAGTGGCGTTGTCTCTGTGCGTAATGTAAGCGGGCCAATCGGCAATGTGTGTTGCGCATGGGGTTCCGGCGGTGGCAGCAGCGGTGCGGCGGCGGGCGAAGCGCTGGGACTGAAAGGGCTCGGGCTAGGAGAGACGTGCGGCGGCGCGGCGGCGGGTATTGATCGACCGGACCTGTTGCCGGGCGGCGCCGCGGCCCTACCATACATGGAATTTATGCAGCTCCATTGAATGCCGGTTGCAACTAGAACAAGGATCCGCCGTCCTCTACTCTAGTTTTAGCATCTACTTCGACTATTTTATATACAATGCTATCTATATTTTATTAAACTTTGCTTTTTTGAATTTTATATCACGTTATTTATTTGAACTAAATGACGTATTTAAAACAACAAAGTGCTGTAATGCTCATGATTTAGATTAGAGTATTTAATACGAAATGATTTCGCTTGGTTTAAATGTTATTCATCCTTGTATTCTGACCCAGTTAATGTTGACGGAGCGTTGACGTCAGCAGCGCCTAGGATCGAAGTGAAAAAGCGTCCGTACGATAAACACTCTGCCCGACCGTTCACGCATACTACTTAATGTTTTAATTATAATACAAACTCACGAGAGGAGCATTAAGATGCTTCGGTGCTCGTTACTTCCACACACGAAACATTCTTGTCATACCCAATACATTTGCCATGCTGCCTTTATTCGTACTACTTACACGTACTTATTATTACGTTTAACCGCCGGTAAAAAAATATGCTAGAAATTGATAAAATTTTAATGGTTATAATCCCGCCACATTAAGGTACTGAAATAATTAGCAAGATGGAAGACAACAACTAGGTACTACTTAATCCTTTTGTTCCAATTGTTATGCAGCATTTCTGAGTGACCCAGCTAAGTTATATTATTGAATTGACAAAATTGCTTCCTTGTGATTGGTCCCGCCAAGCTCAGGATCGCCTCGTAGGTCTTGGCCCGGTGCCAGTGTTGCGACCTAAGTGACATTGAAATTGTCACCGCCTATCCAGCCTCTCGCTTTCGACTGGCTTCTCATATGGCGTAGAAAGCGAAACTGAGAACACTACGAATATTCCATATCCAAATTCTTTCGTGGCGTTTGAATAACATTATTTCTGTTCGCAAAATAAGTAGCGCCCACTTATCATATCTTTGATTTAAAAGAAGTACGTGACTAGATGGGAATAACCGGACCGTGGGAAAGTTTTTGTTATGCTTTGTTGGTTCTGTTCATCTGTTCTCTTTTTGTCCATTTGTCTTATACCTATTCGTTAACTAGCTGTGAAATTATATTACGGTTTTATGTGCTTAAATTGAGATATGTGGTGAATTTTGTTTTAAAAATTATTATTGCTAAATTATAATGCCATTTTGAAATTAAACAATATGTACTCTTCGTATGAAATTATTATTTAACGCGCTTATACATAGACAGTATAGTGTCTTAAGCTTACGAGTTACTAGGATTCGGATTGCGTTGTGCTTAAGATTTCACCCAAGTAATAACTTTAAAAATCCTATATTTCTGAAAAATATCCCTGAGTACACAAGTCAAATCTGGAACCCACGCTATTATTAATTATATCTAGCATATTGAATACATACATAAAATGCTTGTCCGTATCCTATGCTATCGTACAAGGGATAATTACAGATCTCTCTACAACGAATTATGTAGAAATCACCATCTTCTACCTTTACGCCGGAATATTAACGACGTGTATTTATTGAAAATCGGATCCTATTTCCTTTGAGTGTTCATAACTATTAAGGCAACTTTCGTTGAGATTTCCTAATAAGCATAAGCAAATGAATTACAGGCAAAAAAAATTTTTCTGGCGCGCTAGTGATAACTTTAATAAC